CGATGAGTGCCGGGGTAGGCGTCTCCGCGGCAGGCACGGGGGGAATTCTCCGGCCGTCGGGCCGGGCCTGGAGGTGTGCCCGAGGAAGAGCTGTCTGCGGCGGGGTAAGGAGCGGGTCTGGCAGGCGGCTCGGCTGAGAGAGGGCGAGCTGGCCCTGGAGCGGCAAAAGCTTCAGTGAAAGCCTTTACTGTCCGCTTTAAAGGGTTGAACCCTTAAAAGCCCGCTATTAACGCCAAAAAATGGGTTATTTAAAGGCAATTCCATTTCGGTATCGGTTACTACATCCCATGCGAGGCACGTTAACGTAAATCCCGGTTAAACTCTCTTTAAATCCATGTGCGGCGTGACTGTATCTATCGAGGGACAGCAACATAGGCAGCTCCTATTTGTGCTGAAGAACAAAAAAACCTCCTCGCTTTAGTCTACAGAAATTTTGTATCTCATCTGAAGGCTTGGTGGAGGAAAGGAAAGCCTGTAGGTCATTTAGAAGTTGAAATTTTAGAATAAACTTAAGAATTTACTGTGAAAGTGCTGGTTGGCTTTCTGAAAGCTGTGTGCTGAAATAAATCATCTTTGGAGTCCAGTTACAGTGTTTCCCAAAGTCTCACTACCATTGGGACAGTCCATTGACAAGGGTGGGTGGATCCAGCATAGGTGCCTGATGAAATTTGTGAACTGTTTGAAGAGTGATTATGTTGCAAATAAAACCTGTCTCGTCAATTGCAGAAAAGATTCAGCTGCTCGATCTGAAAGAGCGTTGGAAGCGAAGCTGGAGAGCAGAAGAGATGACTCCTGCCAAGGAAGAAGATGTCTGTAGTCATGTGAAAGTGGTAGTCCGTGTCCGTCCGGAGACCCAAAAGGAAAAACAAGGCAGCTTTAGCAGGGTTGTCCGTGTTATTGACCAGCATGTGTTGGTCTTTGATCCAAAGGAGGAAGAAGTTAGCTTTTTTAACAGGAAGAGGGTGACCCACAGGGATATTAACAAAAGACAAAGGAAAGATCTTAAATTTATGTTTGATGCCATTTTTGATGACAATTCATCCCAGCTGGAAGTTTTTGAGCATACTACTAAAACTCTAATTGATGGCTTCCTAAATGGATATAACTGTACAGGTAACTTTGCTACTTATCTTCTTTAATTAAAAAACTTAAGTGAATGTCTCAAAGTTTCTACCATTCTGTCCAATGGCTGCAGAGGCATGAAAAAAGGCTGAGATAGAAATAAAACATTGTGGTTTAATTCACAGATGTGAAAGGCTGACTTTTTAGCACATGGAAGTTAGGATAGCTCTACTCTATTTAAAAAAAACCAACTTGTGTTAAGGTTAGAATAGACTTAGGAATTTTATCTGAAGTATATGTGCTAATGGCAGTCCTCTAGAGTTATTCAAGCAGCAGCAGTTGTGTTGCTGAGTGTGTGGTAACCTGCTTTATGAACTCTTTAAGATCTTGGAGTTTTTTAACTGGCTACTGGAATGTGGTGAGGAAATGAAATGCCTATCAGCAATAAGCTGATGGCTTAGGGTTATGAGAGTAAGTAAATAATATTTTCACGCAATGTGTGAATGAGTTTTGAACTGAAAACTCCAAAATGTTACTTTGAAATATCTCTCTCTAATTACAGATGTGAAAGGTAAATCCTAAGTAAGAAATTTGATCTATTTATGAAGCAGTTGTGCAGAATGAGAGGTCTATGAATGTTCATTTGACTTTTGTGTTCCTGAGTGGCTTACAAATGATGAATTTTCACTTTGTTGTGTTTTTTTTGGGGAAAATTCAGTGCTTGCATATGGTGCAACAGGAGCTGGAAAGACTCACACAATGTTAGGTTCTCCTGAAGATCCTGGAGTCATGTATTTAACTATGATGACACTTTATAAACGCATGGATCAAATAAAAGAAGATAAAACATGTGATGTTGCTGTCTCTTATTTAGAGGTGAGTTCCTGTATTTGGTATGTTACTTTTAATAAGTCATATTTTATAAATAAAGACAAGCTGGTTTTGCTTTCCTCTGGTCCTTTCTGGGGCTTAACAAAATCTGTCCTTATAGGAGTGGAACTGTATTGTGCTCTCCAAAACTTGGTGCTCGTAGGCTGCTGTCACTTTTACAGAAAGCTACCCAAAACCAACAACTGCTTTTAATTCATTTTCTGAATAATCATGATTTGTGTCTTGCTGATCAGTTACGTGCCTCTGAACATCTGTTGACATGTATAAGAAAATATCATTTCAGGGTAACATTTTAGGACTTCACAGTAACATCCCATAAGCGCTGTGAAGAAGCGCTACAAAATGTTCTGTTTTTACAAGTAAATGTTTTTACAAGTAAATGTTTTGGCACTGCTGCTGAGTG